AGACAGATAGAGAGAGAGGGGGGGAGGGGGGGGCAGCTTCGGAAAAAAAGATGGACACCTTATGTTCCATTTCAGAACTGACAAGAAAACGAAGCCAGAACATAGCAGACAGGAAAGACAGGCAAACCGATTTTTTTTTTTTAAAGGAGCCGGGCGCAGTGAAAGGCAGAACCTTTTATCTTGAAACTTGAATAAAATGCTAAGAGGGAAGTTTTCAAAGAGAACACATTACTCAAGGAGAAAGTGTGGCTCGCAGACAGCGGCATGGAAGGGAGGAGGGAGGAGAGAGGGGTCATCGATCAAAGCTGGGCACGTGGCCACTTTGGGGGAATTTCAAGGCAAAACAAAACAAAACAAAAAAGAAATGAAAATAAAATAAACCCAAAACCAAAAAAAACTAAATCGTTGTTTAATGCTTGCGGAAATGTTATGATGAAATATGGCCCGGTGAAGAAAGGTGTAAAAAACGCAACCATCTGCCAGAGAAGGAGCCGGGCGGGATCGTCAAGGAAAAATCCGGACTTCCTGCTCCGGGGGGTAAACAACGGGAGTTGTGAGAGGAAGCGCTGACACCTCAGGAGATGAGCTCTGGAAATGAGCGCTAGACGGTCCGCTGATCAAACAGGTCCGAAGCAATTCATCCAGCAAGTTAGGAACGGAGTGACAGATACTTCCGAGAACCGTAAACTGAAAGCCTTTGGAAATGCTCGAGCTGTGTGTAAACTTCACACCAAAGGCGGGTTACGGAATCTGCCTGGGAATGCTTCGCCTCACGTGACTTACCGGAACAAGATTTACGCCGAGACAGAATTTATTACGTACATCATTCAATCCTGAGACAATCAGCGCTCATTTTGTTTGTTTTGTTGGCCTTTTTTTTGTTTGTTTATAAATTAATTTTGTTGTTCTTTGGTTTTAATTTGTGTGTGAGGTTTTTTGTTGTTGTTTTTGTTTGGTTGTTTTTGGCTTTTGTTCAGCCGCACGCTTTAGAAACCACGTCAACAGCCAACAATAATGGTACCAGACGTTTTAGAAGTCTTGCCTGGCTCTCTACTAGCGGTGTTCACAGCACCAGCGTACGTACGTCATACATCTATAGCACGTGTTCGTTTACACGTAATGTCCTTCCCTCAAACAATAGATCAGTTCAAAGGTACAGGAGAAGAAAATCGCTTGTACTATCACTGAAAACAAAAGGAACTGAGAAGACAAAGAGCACTACCAGGGCATTCTTAGGAGTTTTCTCGGAGGTGGCAGTGTGTACACCAACTGCGCACAAATCTGAATCTCAAAGACATATATTATAACTAAAACAGACATTGGCAAACGACCGCTGCTCTTTTGTCACAAAGCCATAGTTTTTTCTTATTATTATTATTTTCCCCCTTACAAACTAGGCCTTCCAATTGTCAAATGGCACTGAGGGAATTTTGCTGAGACAACAATTTTCTCTCCCCATTTTTTGCCCAATCCATTTCAATTAGGTATAAAATGACATGTGTCGGCTGCGGCGATTCTCACTTGTACCTGTCCAAACTCGACGTCACGCGGTGCAGAAAATTGCTTTGGTAATTCACAAAACTACCGATAATAACTGGAAATGCAAGCCCCCTTTAAAAAAAAAAAGGGGGGGGGACCACAGTGCAGAGTGGAAGACTGTTCGAAAAATAGGATAGTGTGACTGACAATAAATGTTCATCAAAATGACAATGAATACCACGCTCAACTCGCCTGTACTGGTCCTGACAAACGGATGTACGAGTACATGTACAATGTACACATCGCAGCATTCTGTGATCGCTCATGGAAAAATCAGGCCATTACACCCGTGTCTGTGTCATGACAACACTCAACTTCATTCGTTTTGTTTTCTTTTTAAGAATATAGGAGTTTTTACGTCCCCATCGACACAATTTAGATCATTTAAGAAGCGCATTTCTGACCCTGCTTGTCACAGCTACCCCCGGCTGAGAAGGATACAACATTACAGAAGAAAGACCTGGATACTCGATAAAAATTCTCCCCACTCGGGGATCGAACTCGGGTCTCCTCCTAGTATAGCAAAGCCCCTAACCGGAACACGACAGACGTCGGTCAACTACATCGTTTCTTCAACATTTAACCCAAAGTTTTAAATGTATGATGTCGTCGTCTAGGTCGTGGTTACCATTCACAGGGCAAGTAGAGAAGAAAGAAAGCACTAAGTGAATTTCCCTGCTTTTCAAACGAGTCAGTACTATAATACAACGGCTACACAATGTCAGTGACATATGAGGGAAAATGTGCAGCGTAGAGAAGTATACAATCAAACTACAACTGCCCCCCCCCCTCCAATCCAACTCCAAAAATAACCCGTTTCCAAAAGTGAAGATGGTAGGACAAATAATGTATAGGCTCTTTATCCGTTCTCGTTGTCTGACATGAACATCCACGTGGTACGGCAATACGACTCCTATTATGGTCGCCACCAACGAAATAACAACAGGTCTGGGAAAGGATAGGTCAAAATAATACTTCAAATCTGCCCTATCCTTACAATCAGAGGTGCATCAAAGGTCAAAGTTCACACTTCTGACCTTCCAGTCCAGTCATGGATAACACAAGGGAGTGGTTGAGTGGATTCCACCAGCCCATTTCGGCAGTTCTGGCCTTGCTCTTTCGACAATAAGTACGCGAGTAGATAAATACCACACATGAGCTCAAGCACACACACTCACACACATTCACACACACACACACACATTCACACACACAC